AAAGTTGGAAAGCTTACAGCTAGGGGAATTTGTAGCAGAAGCAAGAAATCCATTGACAGAACGACGCTCAGCTGCTCCCAGAGCCACCAGCTTGGGCAGGGCCAAGTGTGGGAAGGATCAGAGCAGCCACTGATGCCTAACAGAAATGCAGAGATAAAGGTGTGGACACTTTTTTTTTTTTTTTTTGGTTTTATGTTCATTAGTCTCTTGATGTCTGTGCACCTCCATTCTGGTGACTACAGGGGATTCCTAAGAGAGTGGACACCCCACCTGCACCCCACCCCCAGAGGGTTCTACTACGCACGTGCACAGATCTCCTCGAAATTTAAAGTGATAGTTTCCACTTAAAACCAAACGGCAGGGCAAAACGGCCACAGCCAGGCTTGAACTGTTTCATCACTAGGCCTGAACGGGAATTGTGAAGAGGGACAGGCAGATTAAAAAAGGAAATAGGCTGCAAATTAAATCCTGAGTTATGTCACAACAACTAACAGTGGCATCTTAAAATTTCTCAGGAAGAACAGTAAAAAGGGAAACCCATCTCCTCAGTGCATCTACCTGGAGGCAATCAGATTGTAGCTGTTTCTGTATTACCTTTAGCAAAACTTTACTCGCTTGAGATATCAAAGAGATTGTCCGATGATTTCCGCAGTCCGTTGGGTCACCTTTCTTTGGAAAGGGTACAAATATGGAGCTCTTCCAATCAGTCAGCCAGATAGTTGTCTTCCAAATTTCTTGGCAGAGATGAGTGAGTGCCTCTTGTGCCACCTCACTTTCTTGAAAGATTTCAATTTTGAGTCCATCAATTCCTGGTGCCTTGTTCTTTGCCAATGACTTCAATGTACTTTGGACTTCCTCCCTGAGTATAGCTGGCTCTTGTTCATATGGTACCTCTTGAAATGGTTAAACATTAACCATTTCCTTTTGATACAATGATTCTGTGTATTCCTTCCATCTTCTCTTGATGCATTCTGTATCATTCAATAATTTGCCCAGAGAATCTTTCAATAATGAAAGTTGAGGCTTGAATTTTTTCTTCAGTTCCCCCAGCTTGAGAAATGCTGACCGTGTTCTTCCCTTTTGGTTTTCTAGTTCCAAATCTTTGCATATTTTATTATAGTACCTGGTTTTATCTTCTTGAGCTGATCTTTGAAATTTTCTGTTCAGCTCTTGGACCTCTTCAATTCTTCTATTTGCTTTAGCTTCTCTACGCTGGAGAGCAAGTTTCAGAGTCTCCTCTGACATCCATTTTGACCTTTTCCTTCTTTCTTGTCTTCTTAATGACTTTTTGCTCTCTTCATGTATGATGTTCTTGATGTCATCCCACAACTCTTCTGGTCTTCGGTCTTTAGTATTTAATGCATCAAATCTGTTCTTCAGATGGTCTCTAAATTCAGGTGGGATAAATTCAAGGTCATATTTTGACTCTCGTGGACTTTTCACTTTCTTCAGCTTCAGTTTGAAGTTGCATATGAGTAACTGATGGTCTGTTCCACAGTCTGCCCCTGGCCTTGTTTTCACTGATGAAAACTTTGAAGACTTAGGTGCACCTAACTCAAAACAAGGTAGTTTCAATCACCATATATGTAATTTGAAAGTTGGAAAATAAATTTAAAAGATTGTAGAAGAAATCAGTGCATTTGAATGATGGTATTAGGAAAGAATATTAAAAGTACCATAGGCTGTCAGAAAAACAGAAAAAAAGAAATCTGTGTTGGAAGTACAGCCAGGATGCTCCTTAGAAGTCAGTCAGCATGGTAAAACTTTGTCTTTCATACTTTGAACATGTTTCCAGGAGGAACCAGTTCCTGGAAAAGGACATCATGCTTGGTAAAGAGGTGGGTCAGCATAAAAGAAGACCCCACCCAGTGATAGGGGTTGACACAGTGGAAGCAGCAACAATGGGCTAAAAGGTAACAACTGTAAGGAAGGTGCAAGACTGGGCAGTGTTTCATTCAGTTGTGAATAGGGTAACACCATAAATCTTTAAGGAAGCAGCTCATCTTTCTGTGTGTAGTGGGGCTAGTAGATTTGAACTGACGGCCTTGCAGTGAGCAGCCCAATGATAAGGCTATAGTGCCACCAGGACTCTTGTATCTGGTACACTACCCATGTTACCACTTTGGTGATAAAGTTCTTCTATGTACAAAAGTACCGAACTCTTAGGAGATTCCATTTATCTGATTTGCCTTTTGTTGCTCGAGCTTTGTTGTGTTGTTGTTAAGTGCCATCGAGTTGGTTCCGACCCATAGAGACCCTGTATAGGGTTTCCGAGGAGTGGCTGGTGAGCAAGAACCACCGACCTTGCGGTCCAAACCGACTTTGCAGCCCAGTGCATTACCCTCCAGTGCCACTTCCTATATGTGGCATGACATGAAACTGTGTGCCAGGGACACCAGGGTCATAACAACCAGGGGTGACAGGGGCAGTCACTTGAATTTATACTAATGAATGAGCGTGGGAAAGAAGAATAGCTGAGGAAAATCCAAGTATACCAAACCAATACCACAGTTTCTGGATTCTTGATCTTCCTTTTAATCAATCTGCTTCTCTTTCTCTCAAGACTTCCCTCACTGCACCCTACATTGCTGTTGTTGTTAAGTGCTGTCGAGTCAGTTCCAAATCATAGTGACCCTGTATAGGGCTTCCAAGGAGCGGCTGGTGAGTTTGAACTGCCAACCTTGTGGTTCAAACCAACCTTGAGGTCCAGTGCTTATCCTAAGGCACACACCAGGATTCCTACTTTAAATGATGCTAATGATCCTAGTCCAGAAACTCAACAGCGTTTACAAACACCTGAAGCAAACAGTAATGTCTTGTCAGTGAAAAATGACAAAAGTATTTTTAAAATGGCTCTTTATTCATAAACTTGATGCAAGTTTACAAAATTTACTGTACATTACCAAACAAATCTGCAATGAAAAAAACCAACCACCAAAGCATGCCAAATGTGCAGCTGTCAATCTGCCAGCCATCAGGATATTAAAGAATTCAATAATGTATTCAAGATTTAGCCTTAGGTTTAAGGAACTTTAATGCGTTAAAAGAGTTCTGCCTTGTCACTTCTTACCTGAGCAACTGGCTACCAGAACTTTATACAAATGTAACCAAGTGAACAAGAAAGCCAAAAATCATTGTCTACTATCCTCTTCCCCCAAACAAAATAAAAATAAAACATGCACAATAATTCAGAAGTGCCAAGTCTCTCTAATGCGTTCACAAAATTAAAGATGGAATCTTAGAGCTAATGCATAAGAAACACTTCCAAACTTGGTAACTTGTTTGTGCAGAAAAATGTGCTTCTGGATTTCTTTTTAAAAGTGCTTAATGTCTAGAGTTTACTTTTAAATTAAATTTGTGTATATAAAAAGATCAATTACCAACCAAACAGGACTGATTCAGGTAAGGCAATAAAATGGGAGAGTACACTGATTTGATTCAAGTTTTATAAACAATGAACGTATGTAGAGTTCTTTTGATGTAAAAGCATATGGTAATACATTTTATGACTTTCCAAATTAGATAATCTCTTTGTACTTAACTGTGCAGCTTTTGCTCAAGGAATCTTTGTGCCAATCACTGAAGTCTATTAGTTTATAAACGATTGCAACATCCCTTTAGTAAAATGGAAGGTAAAATGACTTAGCCTTTTAAATAATGTCAAGCTCTATACTGTGGCTTTTCGTCTTAAAAAATACTGAATCAACAAATTCAGTGCAGCAAGACTCTGATGCCCTAGTGGAAATTACATGTATAATAAGCCTTTACTAAGAGTAGGAACTCAGGGGACAGTTCATGTCATCACACAGCCATAAAAAGGTTCAAGAATTTAATGAGTAGGTTTCCTGTCATTATTTTGGCAGTATCATAAAATGGGTTTTTAGACTCGATAAAGTTAACAGTGATTTAGAAGACCTTCTATTTTCTAAATCAATATTAAACAACAATTAAACTTTTATTGACTTGAAATGAAACAATATATTGCAAGTTGTCATAATCCATAGGCTCAATACAGGAAAATTACCCAAAATGAGTCACAACTTTAGTAACCTGATGCTGCTTGCCTGCTTCAAAGGTTTCACTTTTCAAGAAAAAGAGATGAATGGCCAGTTTGTGTATTTACCAGAAAAAATACAGTAACCCCCACTTCTCAGTACAAGATTCCTAAAATGAACAAAATGAAGAGGCTGTAATTTATACTGGATGTCAGCTGACAAATTATCCACTAAAATATCTATTAGCTAACATCTTCGGCACTGCAGTTATAGGGGCACTCAAAGCTTGTGTCTGCATGTTGGAAGATTTTCTTTAAAACAATATTGGTCCAAACATATGACAGTCAACATATTTAACCATCTTCCTTTGGAGGGGTGTACCAGCCTAAAACAGAAAAAAAAAAAAGTTAAACTTGAATTCTTAAAACTGGAAGAACTACTAGCATTTGTTAAACATTAGCTACATGTGCTACTTACAATGTTAATGTTTATACATACTGCAAAAATCACACTGATACTTGGGGGCTGGGAACAGGATTTTAATATGTTCACAATATAAAGTTACTTCCTATGAATAAACGGCACCTTGAACATACGATCTCTATATTAATACCACTCCTAACTAAAGACGGCACTGTGGAATACTAGACTACAAACTAGATTTTATTCCATTTTAGTTTTGTATTTGAAAGTAATCCTCTTAAAGTTATATAATGTTTCTGTGTTATTTTTGTGTGTCTAATGTCAGTTTCAGAAATAACTATCTCACAAACACACTGCTGGCATTTTAGAATAAGAACTTGGAGGCGGCCATCTCAGCAGGTGCAGTGACTAAATGGTTTATGTCTAAGACCAGAGTTAGCAGCAGAAGCCAAATGAGAAGTCATCTTTTCTTATTCTGATTCTACTGCTCTTTCCATCACAGATAAGTTAATATACACCAACACAGTCTCAAATACAGAATCTTCCATAAAGATTTTGAATGGCAATTGTAATGTTTCCTTTAATTTCAGACAAACAAATGAGAAAGACAAAGAAGACACTGTTTGTCAGTCTCAAGATTAAGTACTGTTTGGTATGAAATCACAATTGTAGAGCTATGAAAATACCAAGTTTTGTGGAGCATGTACATGACTTTCGTTAGTTTATAGTCATCTTTGACCAACAAATCTAGTGTTAAAAATGGGTTATTATGAAAACCCAGCCTTATCCATGAGTTTCCTCATTTCCCTATTCAATTTGAAAATTTGTTTGAATACTGTTCTCTTCCTGAAGTTGCCAGTCACTGAAAAAGTGAAGAGTTTGCTTTGTTATTAAAATAGAAGTGAGTACAAATATTATGTTACAACCTGCTACATTTCTAGTGAAGAATATTTTGTTAATGCTCTTAGAAACCCTACTCTTCTTATTTATGCTACAGGAAAAGACCCAAGCTTCACTACCATTGCTACAATGGTTATCTTATCAAATAGCACACTTAGGTACAGAGTGCTACGCATACACACACGACCTTTTCTTCCTCACCAGTTTGTCAAGAAAGATATGCCCATTTTCCAGATTAAGCTTAAAGAGGTAACAGAACTTGCTTATTAGTTAGGCTACAAAGCTTGTGAATGACTACAAATGGGATTTGTAGTCTAATTTTCTTACTTACTAGTAGACACACACACAAAAAAAAAACCTCAAAAAAATGTACATTATGAATCTAGGCAAAATTTCAAGTCAGGCCAATAAAAATTCATAACAGTTCTTTGAAGAAAAGTTTTTCTTTTTTTAATTCACAACTCAAGATACTCTGAAGTGTTCATTTACATTAGAACAATCCTTACTTGAATAGATAAAAGCGTGTAACCCTGGTAGCATTCAGTAAAGATAGTTGTCATCCTAACTGTACTTACTCCACAACAGAACTCCACCTACAGCCATTATTAGTCTCTCCATGTGCTGAAGAAAGAAGAGTAATGAAAATCGAAGATGCTTGGAATTAACTAATCCAATGGCCCAGTGGAGCAAGTGAACACGTCACCATGACTCTGAAACCAGAAGAACTAGCTGGTATGCAGCTACCACTACCAACTGCTCTGAAAGGGATCACACTAGAAGGCCCCTGATAGAGTGGCAGGAAATGTGGAACAAAACTCAAAATTAAGAAAGAAAAAACAAGACCCGGCCTACTGGTCAGAGAAAGACTGGAGGAACCCAAGACTCTGGCCCCTGACCACCCTCTTTCAGGTCTGAAATGGAACTCACCCTCAAGGCCCAATTTCCAATCAACAGTAGAAAGATATATGGGGGCGGGGAGGGGTGGGACACGACAACAACATTAATAAAGTATGGAGCTCTGGTAGCGTAGTGGTTAAGAATTGGGCTGCGAGCCTCAAGGTCAGCAGTTAGAAACTACCAGCTGTTCCGCGGGAGAAAGATGAGGCTTTCTGCTTCCGTAAAGATATACAGCCTCGGAAACCCTGTACAGGGTCACTATGCATCTGAACCGACTCCACGGCACATAACCACCACCACCACCACCCACCATGGAGAGGAAGTGTGATAACTGCTGTTACATGGAAGGGATTCACACAAAACAGTATATGATTTGTGAAATGTAAAACTGATGATCTTGTCTATAAACCTTCACTCAAGTCACAATAAGAAGTTACAAAAACAAAACAAAACAAAACAAATTCCACCTATAAAGAGTTGCCTTTAAATTTAATTTCTATCCTAATACCACACATCTCAAGTGAAGAAAGTGATCCACTCATTCATCTACTTAAATATCTTGAGTCTGACACAGAGGTGGCCAGGCCAAGTTTAGAATGCTAAGATTTCAAATGAAGCACACAGCATGTCTATCTGTATACTCAAGTGACAATTTGTACTATAGCCATTATACTTTATAAGACGTTAAAGCAACAACAGGAAGATATAACATGACAAATATCAATGACACACAAAATATAAAACCGCATAAAGGGCAATCAGTATTTGATGAAGGCAACGTACCATTTTTCTCATGTATCTGTACAATGGAATTATAAGATTGTTGGGCTCTTGCAAGAGTATACTGATTCTGAAAGAGAATTACATATTTTAAATCAAAACATTAAGTAGATGACAATCATTACAATATTTATGATGCATTACCATTGTGCTTACAGGAAATTGAGTTATATTTCGAAAATATTTTTAACTTAATATCTTTATATTTCAATTTCACATTACCTGGTGTGGTGCTGTAGGGTAAACACTGGACTGCAAGGTCGATTTGCACCACACAATGGGTTCAAACCCACCAGTCACTCCTCAGAAACTTTTACAGGGAGGGTCACTATGAGTCAGAATTGACTCTACCAAATTTAACAGCCATTCTTTAAATTTAAAAATATCATCCCAATAGAAGCCTAAAAGCTTTTATCACGGACATGCACAAAGCTTTATAGTTCTAGTGGCCTCTCCATATCAATGAATCAACTGAAATGATATTATCTGAAGTTAATAAAAACTCAAGTGTGTCTTCTATTGTTTTCTAACAAAACTTTCAGATAAGAAAAATGTTAACTTTTAAGAACTACATATACAAGTGACATTTGGAGTCAGAAGAATGCCCATAATTAGCACCAAGTCATTATTACTAGAGAAGACCTTTTTTAAGGGACCAAACTTAAGAGTCCATCTTGTCACTGTACGTACAACTGGCCTACACTCCAACATCCACTTAACATACTGTGAGCACTCTCTAGGTGGTAACATGCCTATCTACTATATGAAGGGGCTTCAAAACGTTCAGAAAGAATGAAATAGAAAGATAATGAGTTTTTGCATGAACTTTTTGAAGCTCCTTTATGTCATAGATTTTTTTAAAAATAAGCACCATGAAACTCTCCTTTCCACCTGCCTCACTCCTATAGGAGCATGAAATTTGAAGGCTTTTGCCAGCAAATGACTCCAGTAAGGCAGAGATTTCTCCATCTTGTGCCTAGGTGTAATTCAGATGCCAATTTTTCTCAAGTCAAACTGTCAAAATTAGAAGCAGAGGATCTTTAAAAGTGAATCTGGGCCACTTTCCCCAGCTGGCCCTTGTAGGAACATTCCTGGATATACCCCTTATGGTCTCCTGGTTGTGGTGCCATACCCCAAGGGCCTCCTCAGGTACCGTCTGTGAACTTTGCTATCTGCACTAGCCCCCTCCCTGATTCCATAGTCCCTGCATGCATATGTGATGTATTGCTAGCATCAGTCACCACATGGAGGTACAACTTTGGAAAGTCATCATAGTGAAAATTTTCTTCACCTAAGTGATATATGCTCGTCTTGTTTTTAACTCCTGCTGTTTAAGAATAAGAGTCTCTACCATATTTATATATTTGAGATGGGTTTTTTTTCTCCTCTACAACACACCCAATCACCAATTCTCCCCCTTCATCCTCTCCTTTCCCTCAATTAAATTAGCCACTGCATTAACTTCTTGTCTATGCCTTCAAGAAGCAAATCCATAAGACAGTCTGTTGTCGTTAGCCACTGCCCCCAGTATTCTCCTCACAAACAGTTGCATGCTATACACACATTCTGACCCTTTTTCAATTTAGCACCTCATGGAGCTTCTTCCTTATCAGCACAAAAGAGTTTACCTCTTTCTCTTTTCAGAAAGAGTACAATGTTCCTTTATATGGATAGTCTACCATTTAATTGCTCTCCTTCTGCTGGGTATTTGGGTTATTTTTAATATTTTATTGTTACAACAGTATAAGGTTAATATTACACATTACTGTTGTGAAGTGCCATCGAATCAGTTCTGATGCATAACAAATCTATATAGGGTTTCTGAGGAGCAGCTGCTGGGTTTGAACCACCAACCTTGTGGTTAACAGTCCAGTGTTTATCTTACAACACTGTACCAGGACTCCAAAACAGCAAAAGCTTCCTAAGGTAGAATTGTTGGATCAGAAGACATATATAAGGGGGCTTTAAAAAGTGAAAAAATGGCAGTATTTTCAATTCTTTTGCCACAAACTTTTTGAAGCCCCCTCAAATAATACTGCTAAACTGTTCTCTATAGAATTATATATATTTGTTTGCCTACCAGCCTCCACACAGCCTCACCAACAGAGAACGTTATCAAACCTTTGTTATTTTTGATAATATAATAATATAGGCTGACAGCAAAAGGTGACTTTTCGCCATATTGCTGTTGCTGTGGATTTACATTTCTATTACTGAGTGAGGTTGAACATGTCTTAAATTGTTCATGAGCTACTTATTTCTATTCCTGCAAACAGACTTCTTATATGCTTTCCCCCCTTTTCTATAGGGGAATCCTCTATAATATCTAAGAACTTGTTAAAAATATTAAAACCTTGTCATAATGTATCTTACAAAGTAAAATACCCAAGTAGTGTTATCTCAGAGCTAACAGAACATTGTTTCCTCCCACTGTCTATCTGACCTTATCTCCAAATTTCATAGCTGATGATCACTTTTCCTGTATTACAGTATTCATGAGTATTTATATCATTGCAACTGGTAGCGTAGTGGTTACAAATCAGGTTGCTAATCTCACAGTCAGCAGTTCAAAACTACCAGCTGTTCCACAGAAGAAAGATGAGGCTTTCTGCTCCTGTAAAGATTTACAGCCTCGGAAACCCTATGCAGGGTTGCTATGAGTCGGAACCAACTCCACGGCACATAACAACAACAATAGAAATTTCAAGGGAAAACATTCATTTACCTTTTAAAATACTTATTCTTTGCAGAAGTATTTATAGGCATAAAGAAATTCAGACAGCATTAAACTATTTACGATGACAGTTCCAACCAGTACAGGGTTTCCGAGGCTGGAAATCTTTATGGGAGCAGAAAGCCTCATCTTTCTCCTACGGAGTGACTGGTAGACACACTGCTTAAGGTTTGCAGCCTGATTCGTAACCACTACGCTACCAGAGCTAGTTTTCATTGTAGTTGTTGTTGTGTTGTTAAGTGCCATGGAGTCAGTTCCACCCGCAGCGACCCTGTATAGGGTTTCCGAGGAGCAGCTGGTGAGCTTGAATCTGATAATCACATGGCTTACTATGAAAGGAATGACAAATTAAAGAGGAATGGTGTCGTGGTCATCATCAAAACGAGCATATTAAGATCTACTTTAAAGTAAAATGCTGTTTGTGATAGGGTAATATCCATACATGTACAAAGAAAACCAGTTAATACCACTATTATTCAAACTTATGAACCAACCACTAAAGGCAGTGATGATGAAACTGAAGAACTCTATCAACTTCTTCAGTCTGAAATTAATCAAACATGATAATTACTGGCAACTGGAATGCAAAGGTAAGAGGAAGGATCAGTTGTTGGAAAATAAGGCCTTGGTGTTAGAAATGATGCTGGAGACTCATGATCAAATTTTGCAAGACCAATGACTTCTTCATTGTAAATACCTTTTTAAAACAACATAAAAGAAGACTATACATACACATGGACCTCACCAGATGGAATGCACTGAAATCAAACTGATAACATCTGTGGAAAGAGACAGTAGAAAATCTCTATATCCTCAGACAAAACAACATCCATTGCTCAGATGCAAGGTCCAGCTGAAGCTGAGGAAAATTAAAACAAGTACACAAGAGCCAAAATATGACCTCAAACATCTCTCACTTGCATTTAAAGATCATCTGAAGAACAGATCTGATGCATTAGACACTAAAACCTAAAGACCAGGAGAGTTATAGGATGACATCAAGAACATCATCCAGGAGGAAAGCGAAAGTTCATTAAGAAGACAAAAAAGAACAAAAAGACCAACATGGATGTCAGAAGAGACTCTGAAACTTGCTCTCCAGCATAGAGATGCTAAAGCAAAGGAAGAAATGAAGAAGAAGAAGAGCTGAATAAAAAATGTCAAGGGGGAGCTCAGGAAAACAAAGTCAAATATTATAATGAAATGTACAAAGACCTGGAGTCAGAAAACCAAAAGGTTTTCTCAAGCTGAGGGAACTGAAGAAAATCTTCAAGTCTTGATATGAAATACTGAAGGATTCTCTGGGCAAATTATTGAATGATGCAGAAAGTATCAAAAGAAGATGGAAGAAATACATAGTCACTGCACCAAATGGAAACGGTCCAATGTTCAACCATTCTGAGCCAATGATAATGAAGGAGGAAGTCCAAGGTGCATTGAAGGCATTGGCATAGAACAAGAAATTGAGGTCCTTCAACAGAATGATTCAGCATTGGAGGCACTCACCTATGGCAAGAAATTTGGAAGATAGCTACTAGGCCAACTGATTGGAAGAGATCCATATCTGTGCCCATTCCAAAGAGAGGTGACCCAACAGAATAAGGAAATCATTGAACAATATCATTAATATTGCATGCAAGTAAAATTTTTCTACAGATGATACAAAAACAGCTACAACCATACATTGACAGAAAACTTCCAGAGGCTCAAGCAAGATTCAGAAGAGGATGTGGAACGAGGGATATCACTGCTGACATTAGAATGGTCTTAGCTGAAAGCAGAGAATGCCAGAAAGATGTTTACCTGTGCTTTACTGACTACACAAAGGCTTTCAATTGTGTGGATCATGACAAGCTATGGACAACATTGCAGAGAATGCGTATACCGGAACACTTAGTTGTGCTCATGAGGAACCTGTACATAGATCAAGAGGCAGCTGTTTGAACAGAACAAGGGAACACCAAATGGCTAAAAGTAGGAAAGGTGTGTGCCTGGGTTGTATTCCTTCACCATGCTTATTCAATCGAGAAGCTGGGATATGAAGGAAAATGTGGCATCAGGATTGGAGCAAGACTCATTAACAATATGTGATATGCAGATGACACAATCTTACTTGTTGAAAACGCAGAGGACTTAAAATACTTACTGATGAAGATCAAAGTCCACAGTCTTCAGTTGCATCTCAAGATAAAGCAAACAAACTTCCTCACCAATAAACAACATTCACATAAATGGAGAAAAGATTAAACTTGTCAAGGACTACATTTGGTTCGATCAACTATCAACACTCACTAAGTCAAACAGCAGGCATATTGCATTAGGCAAACTTTTTCCTAAGACCTCTTTAAAGTGTTCAGGAGCAAATATACCAGCAGTTTGAGGACTAAGGTGTGCCTGACCCAAGCCATGATATTTTCAATAATCTCATATGCATGTAGAAGTTGGACAGTGAATGAGAAAGACCATAGAAAAATTAAAGCATTTGAGTTATGGTGTTGGGCTCCTTAGAAGCTAGGATAGCCAGATTTCATCTCTCATACTTCCGCCAAGAGAGACCAGTCCCTGGAGAAGGATTATCATGTTTGATAAAAAAGTGGAGGGATGGAGAAAAAGAGGAAAGGCCCCAATGAGATGGTCTGGCACAGCAGCAGCAGCAATGGGCTCAAACGTAGCAACAAATGTGAGCTTGGCACAGGAACAAGAAGTGCTTCATTCTGTTGTGCACAGGGTTGCTATAAGTCGGTACTGACTCAATGGCAACTAACAAAAACCGAAGCCCTGGTGTGCTGTAAGATAAGCATAGGGTAAGTACTGGTCAGCGGTTCACACTCCACAGCAGCTCTTCAGCGGCCCTATACAGTAGTCACTGTGTGTTGGAACAGACTTGATGGCATACAACAATATATCTATAAAAGAAGTTTCCAAAATAATAATAGAATAAGCAATGATTATCTTTAATGTCCTTGAGGTTCTACTTTTTATTACAGATCACTATTATAATAAGAGGCTTTATTCTTTTAAGAAAACTAGCCAAATGAAAATGAAATAAATTGTTTCCAAAGTAATCAAGTCAAGATGAGAAGAGGTCTCATAAGGACACATGTTATAGTTAATATGAAAGTCTTTATAAAGTTACCTTGTTTGCTCCAAACTGCACTCTGGCTTTGCCTTTGACTAAGGTGGCATTGATTTGCATGATGACAGATTCTATTGAGTAGGCACTGCTCCAGCCCTAAAAAAGAAGAAAATACTTCTCTAGAAAATTATAGATTCCAGATTGCCACATAAGAAAGCTTAACAACATATATCAACTTAGCAATAGCAAGTTAATATTAAGAAATTTGTAGTTAAGAAGAAAAAGTTGGCCACATTTCTAAATTTTGCTCTACCCTAAAAAACAAAAAAACCAACAAATTCTAGCAGCATAACATAAATAAATTATAACCTTAAATAGACATTATTCTTTATGTCTATTCTACCATTAATTGACTTAAACACCACATAACACTGACACCTCTCTGGTTTCCCTCAAAGGGGTTTTGCCATGTTTAAAGGGGTGTTATTTAAAATAATTTTTAAGTAGGAGCTATTATACAATAGCTTTCCACTCAACACTGTTGTTGTTGTCAAATAAAAACTATATTGAGGTTGAAAATTTAGTGCTATAAGGAAAGAATCACCTGCTTTGTGAGAAGTTCCATACATAATGCGCCTCCACCCAAGACATACCTTGAAAAAAAAAAAATCACAGAAAATTCTGTATTTCAGTACTCCTTATTTAATTTTAAAGTATCATTACTAAGAAAGTATGCGTAAAAATAAAGATCAGAGGATAGCAAGAAACCAGTCCTTAGGGTTACAGGGATATGGGTGATTTAAAAATTCTAATGTTGCTCTAATACAGCCTTTAAAATTAAAAACGGTTTAGTAATGGTTCTTAGTAACAATACTTTAAGAGTACCACATGTCAGAAACTAAGAACTTAGCCCAAAATATTTCTGAGAATGGGCTAGAGAAATAAAGTTTACTTCAATGGCATTTCAAGTATTTGGTGTATCTGAAAATTCCTCTACCATTCCATCATGTTACACAGTCAAAAGTTTCCTGTGATATGGTACATATTTTGCCTTAGCTGCAAGGTGAACATCTGGCACGGTATTCTAGGTTTTGAATTGTTTTTGTCCATCCTGTTGTGAGCTTCAATGGTTAGGGCCAAGGATCTCTTCTTTGGGATTCTTCTTGCTAGGTCTATGGAGTGTTTTCCGAACTAAAAAGAATGTATGGGGATTTCGGAGCTCTCTCGTTAGGCAATCATTATTTAAATGAAGATTCCCAACCTTTGATCCCAATCTCTCTTTTAGTGTTCTTCAAAACTTCAAAATTGCAAAATATAATGCCCCCCACCCAAAAAATAAAGTAAAGGGAATGGAAAAGTCAATTCTCAAATCAAAGTAAAACTCAAACCCCCTAATTTCAAAATTACCCTGTATAGGGTTTCCAAAGCTGTAAATTTTTATAGGAGCAGAAAGCATCATCTTTTTCCTGTGGAGCGAACTGGTGGATTCAAACTTCTGGTTTTGCAGTTAGCAGCCCGGCTTGTCATAATCCGCTATGATACCAGGACTCTTTCCTTACAGACATCATGGATCAGCATTAGTGTTAACACAGCATGCTTCTTAATAAGAAGTGATTAAAAGGAGAGATGCTAAACAGAATATTTTATGGCACAGTCAAATTATTGACAATGACCACACAGGAAAAAAAAGGGGAGGCTGAGTCCTGGTGAGGCACTGTAGGATAAGCACTGGACCACAAAGTTGGTCTGAACCCCAAGGTCAGTGGTTCAAACTCACCAGCTGCTCCTCAGAAACCCTATGTAGGGTTGCTATTGAATTGGAACTAACTCAACGGCACTTAACAACAACAACATGTAAACAAGCAGAGTCCATGGTTATCTAAAATAGAAACATTCTGTGTGTGTGTGTGTGTGTGAGTGTGTGTATGTGTGTGTGTGTATGGCCAGAGGACAAATAATACACTAACGTTATAACAAGCATTTTCAGTTGCTTAGAAATAGCTCATTCTCAACATACTGAAGAGATACAAAAACAAACATATCTTTATGATTTTCTCTCAAGTTATTACATTGTGCCCTACAATAAACCAGAAAGATGGCATAACTATTGGCAGTTCAGAAAAACAGCTTATAGAAATACCAGTGGTCTGAGAATTAGCTATTATCCTAAATTGTCTGTATCTTGCTAATGTATATTTTGTCTCCTCATTCACATATATTTACTGCATACATACATACATACATACTAGACACTGGGCAAGCCAAAGAACAAAAGGCATGTTAAAACAAATAATAAAGAAGGAGAATGAGGAACAGAGTTAAGGGGAATTTATTTTTTTAAACTTTGTGGTCTGGGAACAGCATCTTTACAAGTGACAAACAAGCTGAGATTTAAAGGATGAGTAGGAATTAGGCAAAATATAGATGGGAATCACATGCCAGACAGAGGAATACGAGAGGTCTTCAAAAAGTTTGTGGGAAAATTAAAAGGTAATGGAATTTTCCCACATATTATGAATCCCATCATATATAAAGAAAAGTCATAAATAAAGAACTCTCACTGGGTATTAGGGACTGAAAATCAGACAGTAGGCATAATCTTAGAAAGACAGGGGAGGTATGGTACAAACTGATAGGAAGAAAGCAACAAGAGAAAGATCCATGACAGCTAGTAGAGAATGTGGTAAAGATACTGATTCCAAGAGCAAAGGGCAACCATGGTAACCGTGGGAGACAATTTATGCAGGGGAGGGAGATAACTGGATGGAGAGCTGTAAAAGATCACTCTGTGAAGAAAGCTGACATGGGTGATGACACAGAAGCAGGAGTCCACACAGGAACCCCTGACGTGTCCATGTGAGAACTGACAGCAGTAGAAATGGAAATAAAAGATACGAGAATTTTTTAAGAATGAGAAAATAGACCAAGGTGATAGACCGGATGTGGACAATAAGGGAGATGATGTAAAGACTGACTCCTAGGTACACTGAGTTGGAGAACACTAGAGAGGTGATAATTTAACTGTTTCTTCTTAAGTAGTTTGAGGTGCCTCTCTAAAAGATATTTGAGTACAGGTGTCAAGAAGAGAGTTGAATATTGAACAGTTGCAAGATAGAAACCTGGGAATTAATGATATAAACATATTTTAATAATCTTGGGACCCTTTTCAACAAATGGTAGAGCAGTTGAACATCTACAAGCAAAATAAAATGAACTTTGATCTAATTTCACACAATATACAAAAATCACCTCAAATTAATTTAGAGACTTAAAATGTAAAACAATAAAACTATTCCCCCTTCCTAAAAAAAAAAAAAGGGTGGGGGGTATAAAATATTCTTTGTGGAGTCCTGGTGTGGCGCTGTGGGTTAATGCGTTGGGCTGCAAAGTCAGTTTGGACGGCAAGGTCAGTGGTTCAAGCTCACTAGCCGCTCCTCAGAAACTCTATACAGGATCGCTATGGGTCAGAACTGACTCGATGGCACTTAACAAGTATAACAATGAGATATTCTTTGTAACCTAGGACTAAGGAAAGAGTTGTTAGACTTGAAAATAAAAGTTTAATCCACAAAAGAAAAACCTGATAAACTAGACTTCATCCAAACTGCAAACTATTATTCTGTAAAAGAGTCTTAAAAGGTTGGAATGACAAGTTACAGACTGAGATAAAATATTTTTTAAAATACATATCTGATAAAAGACTTACATCTAGAATACATTAAAAAATCTCAATATATAAATAACTCTCAAAAGGTATACAACTTGTGAACGGAAGAAAAAGTATTCATTTGGAGTAGATGATATGATTGTCTACATGGAAAATGCCATTGTATCAACACAGAGAAATCTGTAATTAAAAGCAATATTAGCAAGATTGGATGATACAAGCTCAGTGCTTTCCTATGTGCCATCAATGACCAATTGGAATTTGAAATGAAACACACGCCACCATTTATATGAGCACACACACACAACGCACAAAAGGTGAGAAAAACTCAGGTATTAATCTAACAAAACACACATAGGACTACATTAGGAAAACTATGTAATTCACAAATGGAGAGATACTAAGTTTCAGAGGAAGGAAGACTCAATATGTTAAAATGTCAGTACTTCAAAATTTGATCTACAGATTCAGCCCAGTCTCAATCAAAATCCTAGCAAGTTATTTTGTTCATACTGACAAAATGATTCTCAAGTTTACAAGGAAAAACAGAGAAGTCAGAATAACACACTACAAGTGTAGAAGAACAAAGTCAAAGGATGGGCACTACTCAACTTTACGATTTACTATAACGCTGCAATGATTAAGACAGCATGGCACTAGCAGATGAGCAGATCATAAATCAATGGAACAAAATACAGAGTCCAGAAATAGACCCACACAAATACAGTCAACTCATCTTTGGCAAAGGAACAACAGTCTTTTCAACAAAGAACACTGGAGATCCACATGCAAAAAAAAAAAAAAATTCAACTCCAGACCTTACACTTGTCACAAGAATTACCCCAAACTGGACCATAAAAATGGCAAAAAATTATAAAGCTTCTAAAAGATTAACAGAAGGAAATCAAGATGAGCTTGAGTTTGATTGTGAGATTTTAGATACACCACCAAAAATAAAAACGAAAACTGGAACTTCATTAAAATAAAAAATTTCTTGTTAAGGGAATGAAAATATTTGCAAAACAATGATAAAGAACTTGTTTAAAAAAATATAGAGAACTCTCAAAGCTTAACAATATGAAACCAACCAATTAAAAAATGAATAAAAGATCTGAACAGGTCTCTTCGACCTGTGGCAATAAGCAGACATCTCAGATAGGTGGCAAATAAGCGTCCGTTCTAACTCAGCAACCCTTTACAGGGTTTTCAAGGCTGTAAATCTCAGGGCGCAGAAAACCTTATCTTTCTCCAGGTGGATTAGAGCTGCCAGCATTGTGGTTAGCAGCCCAATGCATAGCCCACTGTGCCACCCGGGCTTCCATCACATGTCGTTGGTGCCAAATGCCACTAAGTCAGTTCCAACTCATAGCAACAAACCCTATATAGGGTTTCTGAGAAGCAGCTAGTGGATTTGAAATGCTGACCTTGTGGTTCCAAGTCCAGTGCTGATCCTACAGTGCCATACAAGGAGCCATTGTTGTTGTTAAGTGCCATCAAGTTGGTCCTGACCCATAGCAACCCTGTACAGAGTTTCCGAGGCTGTAAATCTTTATGGGTGCGGAAAGCCTCATCTTTCTCCTGCAGAGCGGCTGGTAGTTTCAAACTGCTGACCCTAAGGTTCACAGCCCGATTCATAACCACTACACTACCAGAGTTCTCATACAAGGAGCCATTTGTTGTTCTTAGGTGCTGTCGAGTTGGTTATGACCCATAACGACCCTGTACAGGGTTTCTGAGGGTGTAAATCTTTATGGGAGTAGAAAGCCTCATCTATCTCCCGCGGAGCAGCTGGTAGTTTCGAACTGCTGACCTTAAGGTTCGCAGCCCAATTCGTAACCACTACGCTACCAGAGCTCCTTACAAGGAGCCCTTAGGGAATTGTAAATCAGAACACTAACAAGAGACCATTAAACACCTATTCCAATGGAAAAAATCCAGAACAGTGATCACATCCCATGCTGACGAGAATGTGGAACAATACTAACT